TTTCTGTTTCTTTTCTCAGTTTCTTTCTTTCTCTCCCTTTCTTCTCTTTCTCTTTCTCTCTTTCTCTCTCCCGCCCCCTCAATAAGTGTGTACTTAACACAGACTGTTTTAAAACAAAACAATTTGATCAATTTTTATCTTAACTTAACACACGCACACACACACAAACAAACAACACACCACGCACACAGACAGACAAGTAGTATACATAAGTGCATGTAGTTGAGCAATCAATCAATCAATCAATCAATCAATCAATCAATCAATCAATCAATCAATCAATCAATCAATCAATCAATCAATCAATCAATCAATCAATCAATCAATCAATCAATCAATCAATCAATCAATCAATCAATCAATCAATCAATCAATCAATTAACCAATTTATTAACCAATTAACTAATAATTAGGCAAAGAAACTAACCCAATAGGATTAGTCCTTAGAGAAATTTCTAAATTTCTAAGCAGCTGCGTTGATGTGCACTCCATCCTTTTGAGCGTCTAATTGGGTTTCACAATTTGATAATAATATTGAAAATAATACTAAACTATTTTATTATTATTATTAATTTTGATATATATGTATATATATATATATATATATATATATATATATATATATACATACATACTAATATGCTGATTATGATGATGATATAGAACGTGATGTATTGTAATAGGATAATGATGATGAAGAAGTTGATAATGAAGAAGATGATGATGAAGAAGAAGATGATGACGATGATTACCTTTGTATTTTTACCGGTGGGATCTAAATAAATTCTCAAAACATCCAAATATTCTTCCGGTGGCTTTTTGGCTGACATTTTTTCCTAAATAAAAACATACACACACACATACACACATACACAGATGCACACGCACATATAACATGTACAAACACACACACACACACACACACTAACAGTTAGTAAGAATAAAAGACAAAATGTTAATCAGTTGTAAAGAGGAAGTGAAAGTATACATACAAAAAAATTCATCTAACTAAATGAACTGAATGAACAGTGTGGTTAATAGTAAATATTTTTAGTTTGAATAAATGTATGAATCTAATCAATCAATTAATTAATTAACCAAACATTCAAACAATTATTTAATCAATCAACCAGCTAACTAACCAGTCAACCATCCATTCATTCATTCATTCATTCAACCAACCAACCAGCCAGCCAACCAACCAACAAACCAACCAATCAATCAGAAGCAAATTAACAGATAAATGTCAGTTACATTAATTGTTTAGTTAATTAATTATTTAATAATAATAATAATGAATAAATTAATTTATAACAAACTAATTAACTAATTAACTAAACAATAGATTACACACTTGATCACAGACTAGATCCCATTTTTTATCATCATCATAACTTTTTAGCAGACGAGCCTTGTCCGGGGGCAAGTCCATTGATGCCTTTTAAAATAATTTTCAAATTTACACTAATCATGATTAGGGAAGTGTTTTTTAAACTAGGTTTTTTTTTTATGAAATAATCCAGTTGAAAAATTTTTCCTCAAGATTCTCAATACTAGATATAAACATTCAATAAAAATAAAAACAATTACTTTTGGTTTTAAATTTAAGAAAAAAATTTGAATCTCTTCTGATATTAACTAATCAGTTTCAGTTACATTTGTATGTAAACAAATCAGTTTAGTTAAAATCATAATTCATTTTTAATATTTAATACTGGCATGTTATAATATTACTCATAATAAATACATTTACTTTACATAAAACAATGACACTCCTATATATAAGTACACCAAACAAAATCAAGTCGAGACAGATGCTGCTAGAGGCTAGGCTAGGCACTAACTTACCAGAACGTTAACGAATCTGACTTCGAGCTCATCATGGCTGGGCATCGGCAGTTTTTCTGTTGGGGCCATTCTACGGTGGACCTGGTCATTCTTTGTTGAGTTACGAGAATGTAATGATGCGTTCCCCATGCTTTCCCTAACCATCAAATAGAATAGTAGGCAAAAGAAGTGATGAAAAAAAGTAAAAAAATACAAGACAAGAATTCCAATTCCAGATTATTGGTACTCCTGTATTATTAGTCAGTATTCTGTATTGAATTCCTACTCCTATTCGACCAAAACGAAGTTTAATTCTAATTAAAAATTGAGATTCTAAAAAATTCAGAAGTAGTTGTTTGGCAATGAAATGAGAGGATAATCATTTTTATTAAATTCCCTTTTTTTACTTTTTAAAACAGTATCCGCAATGATTAGAATAGGAAACTTCTTAGAGAAATTAGTAAAAGCGAAAATTTTGAGAATAAAAAACTTCAAAACAATTTTTTCTCTTAACTGTCATTTATAATAATAATATTATTATTATTATAATTATATAATTTTGATTTGTTTCAATTAAAAATCGTAAAGTATTTTAAATAAAACTAGTCTTGTTTATTAATCACCAAAGAAGTTAATAAACAAAAGGTGCTTTGAAAAGTTAACGAACTAATTATCTAATTTTTTTGCGTGAGTTTAATTAAATTGTTTAACATTTTTTAAATAGTTTATTTTATTTTTAAAATAATGTTTTTAAAACTTTCAAAAATTAAACTAAGTAGTTGTTTAAGAATTTACTTTAAAGTTTTTGTCTCCATGGCAACGAAATGTAATTAAAAATTTATTGTGGGTTTTCACAAATCTCCACTTTGCTTTACGGTAAATAAAATGAATCGATCGTCAAAAACATCAAAACTTTTCAATATTTTTTAAAATAATAATAAAAATTTGCTCAATTTAGTAAGTCCTACTCCCACTATTTATCTGTTATTTCGCGAAATGTCTTCGATTGAAATTTAATATTAATTAAAATTAAATTAAATAAAATTAAATTATTAAATTAAAAGTAAATTTTAATTTTAAATATTGAAAATTCATTAAATTTTAATAAAGTTAAAGAAAAAAGTTCATATTTTTATAGTTTAAATTTTAAAAAAATCTTGTTCGTTAAAGTATAAACTAAAGTTATGATCTCCATTGTAATTGCATGACTTCCACTATCATATCCTCAAAATAAAACGAAAAAAATGCTGAACAGAAAGAACTGTTCACCGAATTTATTTGTACCTAACATCTGGGGCAGCAACTTTCACGGCGAATCCAACAAGTCCCGACCCGATTCGGCTAATGATATCAATAACAGCATCAAAACAATAAGCCAAATGAAGTCATTTTTTGGAAGTGAAATTTCTTCAAAAGAAAAACTTAATGAGAATATGTTATTTCTGGAAAAAAACAAAATAAAAAATTTTAATTCAGACCAGTTTAAACTGTTAATACCTAAGAATAACTTCCAACTAAAAAGCAACCTTCACAATGAGAGGGCGCAGCACAAACCTGTCAGATGTTGCCATGATATGTTTGAGAATTCATGGAGGCCCCCTTTGAACCACCCTATTTATCAAAACTATGCATCCAAACAACAGGGTGATGACTACCATCTCTTGAAATTTTATGAGAGTGAATGCAGAGTATCTAGCCAAAGTGAACAAAATATCATTAAGAATGTAACCAATTTTTCAAATGCTGTTGTGGAAACAAATAAAGAAAAAAATAAGAAAAAGCAACAAAAAGTTTATTTAGAAAAACTTAATAAGCCACAAAGTTCAAAAGATAAATTAAAAATACAAAAATCTGACACTAGATCGGATAATTCTTCAGAGATCCACTGTAGACCAAGTTCCACCTCTTCAAACACTCAAAAAATGTCAACATCTGTGCCAAGAAAACTTAAAAGTTCACTGAAATTAAAGACTTGTTCAAGTGCCAAAGCTAGCTTTCATACTTCTACATTTCCAAATTCTCAAAGCCTACAGCAACAACATTCAGAAAATGTAAAGCCACAGACAAGAACAAAAGAATTGACTGGCATCACGTCAAAAAATTTTGTCTGCAACAATAAACGACGTTGCCGCAGTTCAACAGTCAAGTCGAAAGCAAGCGTTGAAGATGAATGTGCATTGGATGAAAATTGCTGTGGCGAGGAATGTTTTGTAGAACTGAGTGTCAAAGAAGAGGAAAGTGATGGGTAACTTCATTTCAAATTCATTTTTCAAGTGAATCTTCAAGTGAACCAAACGATTGCCATTGCACACGCAGAAACTCATAGATACACATACACACACACATGTGCCCACATACACGCACACACACGTTCATAAAGATCAGACACAGACAATGGCAACGAGAGGAAAGTAGCGAGCAGCATGGGGAGCACTCCAACGAAAGAATTCTTGAAACAAAACTTTTCCAAATCATCAATTTTCATACAAAGCATGTTCGTCAGAGTGCCTCCTACTATTAGATTTGTTTCTAAGCCAAGACCTGGTCCTAATTTTTTTCATATTCCATTTAATTTTTTTTATTTAAAAGCAATTACTCAGTTTTTTCTAATCTTTTTAGCGAAAAATTTGTTTGTTAAATGTGTTTGAGATGTATTATTAATTGCTTGGCTTTTTAGTTGTTAGTTCAAATAGTAGTGAGACAGTGAATGGAAGTATTCATATGCGTCGTGTGCTGTTACCGATTTTGTGGTCCCAAAATTTAATTAAGAATAAGTTAGTGAAATTATTTGAAGCATGTATGTGTTAGTTGTCAGTGTATGGTCAAGAAAATGAAAATATTATGTCACGAAGGAAGTTCCCTTCCCTACAGGACGTAATTTGTTTCTAACGATTTGATCTGATTTTATTCTCGTCAGAACGACTAACATCATTTCTTGCTTAGCGGTGTAGTGTTATGTTTTTTGTTGATAATTTATGCGTAATTCTCCTCCGTGTTAATGGATTCTCCTCCGTGTTAATGGATCTATTTTTCGCTACTAAAGTACACTTTTAAGATACATAGTTTAAAATCTCCTTTCATGTTTTTCAGATGAAAAAAACGCATAAAATACTGAGTAATCTAAAAAAAAATGTTCATCTACTTTTTTCTAATTTCAAAACCTGGCCTTTAATAATATATTTTTAGCTATGGCACTCGCCTCAACAATTTATATTTTTAAACGATCATTCATTTATTTATTTATTTAATATATATATATATATATATATATATATATATATTTATTTATTACCAGAAAATAAAGAATTTAAGGAATTCATGAAAATGTTTAAGTGGAAGATGAGCTCGATAACTCCAACGGTTGTAAGGAACTGCGTGTTAAACTCTGGTTTCTCATTCACTAACAGTTAATAATTTTATTATATTTTATTAAAAACTCCCACAAATACACTTTATAACTTCTTTATATATTTCCGTTTGCGGCGATTTCGTTAGCCTTTTCATCAAGTAACGCCCAGCGAAAAGGTGTTTAATTATTAATAGATTTGCGATTTGTCACCTATCTGTTATCAATATTTTTTATTTACCCATTAATTTATTAACAAAAACTATATACTCAATCGTAACAGTTTTAATTTATGCCTTCGACAAACACTTGTACAAATATAAGATATAAATTATTTGCTTAATTAGGGACAAATGCCTGGCTAGGAACCTGGTGCAGAAACATCAAGACGCCTTTATATAAGAATATCAAAGATTATCAAAAGGTGGCTGCCTGTTCATCATACGTTCTGACAAAACAAAATTTTCCATTAACGTTTAATAAGCATTCCGTTTTGTCATTCATTTATGCAGTTCAACCACTTCCCCGCCATCTATCAAATCGGTCGGAAGGACCACCTACATCGCAACATCACCAGAATGGTCAACAACTTTGGATCGGAACAATTTGGATTCACCCCACAAACGTTCATCTTGCCTGCTAACATGAAGGCATTTTTCGCTGCATGGAAAGCCAATCCCTGCAAGAAATGGATCATCAAGCCAGTTAATAACAATTGGTTATTTTTAATTTAATGTTTCGCTTCACCGACTCTTCAAATATTTATCCTGTAGATATTTTGAGTCAAAGAAGGAGTGACAACCTCGGTGTTATCTATATGTTATTTTATATCTTCTGGGTCCTCCAAACACTCGTTCGTTCGTACAAGTGACTGAGCCAGAAGTTTATGAAATAAGATTAGAAAATATCGAGGTAGTCACGAGTTCTTTTAAATTCAGTTTGTTGATCTTGTTGTTTGGCTGTTATTGTTCATATCTGTCGCCAATCTTTCATCTATTATATTTATTGCTTGTTTATTTATTTTCATCCTCGCACTTCATTTGCCCTTACGTAAGAAATCGAAATTTTGTAAGCACCGTAAAAATTAAAAAAGACCGCAAGAAAAAATGCTTATGTACGTTATGTGGTGTGGTCGTTAACGATTCTGTTAAATTAAATTGGAAAATAACGCTTCAACTTAATAAATAATAAAAATGCTAAACAACGAATGATGTCAGCCGGCGTCTGCAAGAGGACTTGGCATAAAAGTGGTAAGCAAAGTAGACGATGCCTTGGTTTCTCGCATGATAATCATTCAAAAGTACATCTCCAACCCGTATCTGATCGATGGAAACAAGTTTGATATGAGGATATACGTATATGTATCTTGCTTCAATCCACTGAGGGTTTACATGGGCAGGAATGGGTTGGCCAGATTTGCTACTGCTAAGTAAGATTTGTTGTTGTCTATTGCTGTCGCCGTTGTAGTTGTTGTCGTCGTTATCCGTTGTTGCCGCTGTGAATGTGTTTTTGCGAATTGTAACGTTCTTCTTTGTTTTATTAATGTTTTCGCTGCCAATGTTTTTAGAAATTTTTGTGCCTCTGCTTTTGTTAGCGATGTTTTTTCGTTATTTTATTCATGATATCGATTCATTAGTGACGATTTAAGCGTTTACAATGAATATTCTTATTATAATTTTATTTAAATCATATTTGTTATTATTACGGCTTGACGATCTCGATATTTTTCAATCTTCCTTTTTATCTCTCTCGGATTTAGCCGTCTGTCTGAAGCAACAAATGGCTTGCCGAGTCCCTAACATGTAAAATATAATACAGATAGCACTGTCAACTTTCCTTTTCGTTTTTGTAGATACTCCAACAAGCAAAACAGTTTGAAGAACAGATTCGTACATCTAACTAATTACAGTATCAATAAGAAGAATTCAGATCTTGAAGTCATTGACTCGTCTAACGCTGCTGACGGGTGCGATCAGTATAAATGGTTGGCGGAGATATTTTACCACTCTTATATTAATACTAACATACTACAACTACTGCTGCTGCTGCTGTTTCTGCTGCTGCTACTGCTACTACAAATAATAATAATATGAAATAATTATAAAAATAAAATAAGTAATAGTAGTTGTTGGGGCAGTAGCAATATGGGTAGTAGTAGTAGCTGTAGTAATAGCTATAGTAGAAGCAGCAGTAGTAGTAGAGTAGCAGTAAAGTAATAATCATAGTAGTGAAGTAATCTTAAAAACTATAACTTTTATAGTTAATTAATGATCTTAGGACTTTGCTGGCTCTCTGGAATTATTTGGATAAGAAAGGAGTCAACAGTAAAATGATATGGGAGAGTATTAAAGATATCGTCGTCAAGACTATAGTTAGGTACACGCAGTTATTTAATTAACATAATTAATTAATTTATCCATTTATTCATTTCTGTGTATATTTTATTAATGTAATTTTAATACGATTAAGGCGTACGCAATAAGGTAGAGAAGTGTTATATGTTTTACTTATACATTGTATATAATTTGGCAATTTTAATATACGATTAAGGCTAATTCAGATAGCAATACTATCGGCAAAGTTGGAATCAAACAATGAAGAAAATTTTCAAATTCTTTATCTAATTCACTTAAAATACAAACAACCGCACTAAACAGTTCGGAGACGCACATAAGAAACTTAACGAGCTTAAAAACTAAGAATCCGTACTGCTGTCACGAGCTCCTGGGCTTCGATGTTCTACTCGATCAGGATTTAAAAACCTGGTTACTAGAAGTTAATATATCTCCAAGGTTGTCTTGTTTGTTAGTTGGTTGGTTGACTGGTTAGTTAATTGGTTGGTTGGTTGATTGGCTGGCTAGTTGGTTGGTTGGTTTGTTTGTTTTTGTTAATTTAATTGTTTTAATTCATTGGGTTTTAAATTTGTGTCTTTCTACGATTTGCATGACTGTCATGTAAACAGGGATCCAGCGCTAATAAACGCAAATTATTATTATTAAAATTTTTATTTTCTGCGTTAGAATGATAAGATCTGTTCTATATGATCTTTTTACTTGAAAAATATCTCAATCCTTATAACGTTTCCATTAATTTTTTTCCACTTCAAGTTTGCACTCATCAACAGAGTTGGACAGAAGCGTGAAGGAGCCAATGATAGTTGACATCTTGAACACAGCTGGATACAGGATACCAGAATCCTTTGATCTCATATCTTCTGGGAATAAACATGTTGATTGGAAGTTAATCATTTTCTATTTGTGTGTGTGTTTGTGTGTAAGTATGAGGTGTTTGTATATGTGTCTATTTGTGTGGTGTGTGTGTGTGATGTGCGTGTGTGTTTCATAATGATTACGACGAAGTGCGTTCACCTTTCATTGTTGTTTGTCGCTTACCCCTACAAATTACTTCACGTTATGACTCACTTGAAAGCACGTACACCCCCTCCAACAATGTGTGCATTGACAAAAGGTTCCACAATAGAAAACTTTCGCATGATGACAAAGAGAAGCACAGTATATACCAACAGGCGTTTCTCGAACAGGTTCGTCGGTTGCAGAGTTAAAATGTAAAAACTGACAGGTAAATTCATAAAAGTTTATTTGTAATTCATCGTTTTTGTCCAGCGTGAAATCAGAGATTAAAAAAATTTACATGTAATTCGAAAGTAACGCGTAGCAAACTGCAAGCAGCGAATCTATGTTAGCTACAAAAGTAGCGTCGCTCTCATTTTCAATGTCTCTACTGTCCAATAAAATAGAGGCACTATGGCTACCGTACTGCTATTTCGCTATTTAAAACCATGCATAGATAGGGTAATACTTTTAAATAACAATTTCACCAGAGAACCATCCAGCTATCAATATTAGAAAAACTGACGGCTAACGATTTGAAGGTACTGATCGACACCATAGATGAACAGAAGAGATGTGGTCTGCTGGAAGTCGTCTATCCAACTAGATCAACTCTATGCTACTTGAAGTACTTCGATAATCCTCATTACTATAACCTTCTAGTGCAAGCCTGGTGTATTAGATATCCAACTGACGATGCCGAAGGTATTTGTATCTTTTTTAATGAATTTTGTCATTCGTTTATGATTTTATATTTTCTTATTTTATATCTTTATGATTTTTATATCATTTTATATTTCCATTTGTTTGTTCGTTTATTCTTTTATTACTTCACGAACACGGAATAAATTAAATAAATTTATATGTGACGTGATAACATCATAATCGTGAAGTTTCTCAAAACATTTCGAAAATTTTCATTCCTAACTCAAATTCAAGTTCAAACTCTTGCTATACAAAATAGATTTTCACGTTGTTTCAATTTCAAACTTTTGTTTACTGATACTGGTTATAAAATTTCAATTGCCACCAGGAATAATAATGTTGAACAAATATTGCTGGCACGAACTACACCTAAAGACAACGCCATCATCTAACCACGAATGAACCCTAGGTTCGTTGTTATTATACTAAAAATTATTATTTCAATGATTTTAAATTAAATTCTTATAAATATTTATAAGTAATGAAAGAAATAAAGAAGTTGAGAAACGCATTCTGTAGAAAAAATTTCTATTGCACAATTAATAAATGATGCCTAACGTTCGTGTTTTCCATTTGTATTTTTCATTTTATTTATAATATATATTTTATTATGTATTATTTTTGTATTATATTTTATTATGTATATTGTATATATCTTTATTAATTTTATAACATGATTATTTCCTTGACAACAGAAAAAATGGGTGCATGCAAGCACTAACGATTAAGTTATACAAATAATTAAATTTATACAAGAAGATTGGTAAAGAATAAAAAATGACGCTTGTGTGGTGTGTGTGCGTGCGTGTGTGTGTGTGTGTGCATGAGTGTGTTTGTGTGCAGTGTGTTTATTATTATATTTATTTATTCAGATACATACAATATATATCTTATACATTTATTGACATTATTTTCGAAAAGAATGGTCTTTTCTTGACTTAAAATTTGACGACATATAATCATATTTTTATAGTTTTAAATGAAGTAATTTGTGAATTTAAAGACTTGTCTTGGAGTTGTAGTGTGGGTGGATACTTTGATGATATGCGTACCATTCTCTTGTATAGTTGCGGAATGGTGAATTTAATGCTGCATACATCGTTACATTATTTATTTCAATTGCTTAAATAGTAAGATAATGACTGATCAAGTTTCTAGAATTTGTTGTTAAAAAAAATGTAGTATTATTTTAATTATTTTTTTATCGTTTTGCTCGTTTGAAAACTTGGTGGAAAGCACGGAAAGCAAATCTTTGTTGTATTCTTGGGTGTCATTAAAATAATTTCCTTTACACAAACACAACGCACACACTATATATACTATATTAAAAAATTTCTTTGATGCTTTTTAATCAGTCAGGTCATAATCATCATCATCGATATCGCGATGAAATCAAATTGAGAACTTTTTAAATTTTTGAAAAAAGTGTCTTTATTCATATTACGATACTACTTTGTTCAATAAGATACTGTTTGATACTATACTATCAATTAACCAGTCAATCAACAAATAAATCAATCAATCAAACGCTGAATTAAATCAACTGACCAATCAATCAATCTTTTAACTAACCAATCAAACAATCAACTAATTAACCAATAAACCTTGAATTATGTAATTTGAAATTATTTTTGCTAATTATAATAAAAATATTGCAATTTCGTAAGTAAGATAACCTATGGCTTTGTTAAAAATACAAAAATAATTTCAAATTACATAATTCGATTTAAGTGCAATGTTTTAAACATATTGAGTCAAATTTATATCTCATATTGGTTGCAGTTTCGTAAGTAAGCTCACCATGGCTTCAGTAAGCCCATGGAATTATATAATTATATAATTCAATGAGTAAGCCACTCTGTTTTCTAAACAAAAAGCTATACTTTTATTTAATCAACGATAATTTTAAATTAAATAATTCGTTTTAATTATATTGTTTCAAAAATACTTAGTCAAGTAAATATTTTGCATTAGTTGTTTGTTAAAATCCATGCAATTTCGTAAGTGAGCCATAAGCCAAGGTAGATCAAAAGCCCGACCCCTAAATTGACTGAACGAAAATGGATCGTATGGAATTAGCAACATCTATCCAATCTAATCGCCTAACTAAACATTAAGATTTTGGCGCTGTGTTTAAATTTTCATAGATTTAGCGAATTTATATTAAAATGAACGAACTCGGCAAGTTGAAAAAATCTTTTTCTCTAATTAGTCAGCAATTAAACGAAATCGAAACGTATTTCGGTGACATTGGTGTTAAAGGGCAAGCTTTGGACGCGTTCGGGAAACCATTTTTGGATGATTTGAACAAGTACGCCGAACGTTGCAAGTCGGTTTGTAATGGCTTGAAGGAGGAGGCCATTGAGTTGAAGTCCAAAATGAAGGAGGACATTCAGGCGAATGCTTTCGAAATCTCCGAACTCTGTGCCTACCTCGGCATTGACTCTGTTCAGTTTTCAGTTAGTCGTTTTGTTTTTCTGTCTAGTTTTTTATTTTTTTTATAAAATATTAAAATTTTATGCAATTCATATAATTTTTATTTTATATTATAGTTTATAATTTATACATCATTTTTAATTATATATAATTATAATTTATGACGTCATATAACATATAATATTTTTACTATCCTTTCTCATTTTTTCCAGAATTGAATTCAAAAAATATATATTCTCAAAAATATATAGTAAAGTAAATTAAATGTATTTATTTTCTTATAATATAAATAAAATAATATATAAATATTACAATAGAATTTTATTTTTTTAAAACCCATAAAAAATAAATAAAAGTCTAATAGTTAAGTATAGGGTGGAGTACACTACATGATGTATTCAAGTGATTATTGATTTTGATTTTATTTACAAGTAACAAATCATTTGCCTAAATTTAATTTTATCTTTGATGATTTAATTAATTTTTAATCAAATGTTCTCTTTTATGTTGCAGCTAAACGAAGGATTGTCACTGTATGAAAGTTTAGAAGAATTGAAGAAAATTGTTAACCATCTTGAAAGGATGAAAATTGTTAGTTTTCTAATATTTTTCAACCTAACTTTTCAAAATTTTTTAGACTTAGCTTTAGGTCTTGACATTATTTAATATAACAAAATTTAATTAGAACCATTGCACATCAAAATTTTTTCAATAATAAAGAATTTCAAATGTTTATTTCATAAATAAATGACAACTACCATATCATCATCAAAGTCATTAGAGATTTTTCATCATTTTTAAAAATATATCAGAAGGATATGTTATTTTTTTTAATTCAATATGATTCTACTCTTCTGTTTATTGTAAAGTTTTTTTGAACACTCTGCTACTATTCAAACTATTGAATATCAATGAATCACAGGCTCTAGAATTAGAGAAATATATGAGGATATATCTGGAGTATAAAGAACTGGTTGATGAGATGAAACTGAATGACCATCTGACTGATGATCAGAAGAAAATTTATGACATGAATGTGGAGAAAGAAAGGATATTCCCAACAGAACAAACATTAGATTTCATTTCTGAGGTCAATCTTTAACACTAATTTGGACTAATTTTGGATCTGCTATTCACTTAATTTTTTTATTTATGATATCTCTGAGAATTAATGAAAATGTTAACAAATATTCTCAAACTAAGGGGACCAAATTGGCATGCTCCATTTTGATAAATTCATTTTTTCATATTTCAAGCTCAAAGTTCTCAAAGAAAACAACAAGGCAGAATGCATGAAACTCTGCTCGTCCCTGAAAACTATCCTGAATCGTTTGAACATCCCATTTTCAGATGAACCACTAGTATATCGAACATCCGACGATGACGTCTTCATCCAACAGCCCACAGTTGAATTGGTCACTTCGTTTTATGATTTGAAAAAATAAAATTAATATAAAGATTTGTTTCAGTTTGGTTGATTACTTCAATGATTTAAAAATAGTACCCATAATCATGTCGTTGTTACTTTATCCAAAGCTGATAATTATATTAATACTTTCTCCAAAGTTGATAATTATATTAATACTGCAACAGTGTTGTTAATTAATATTATTAATTATACTACTATCAATCAACTACTAAAATTTATTTATTTTTAAAAAATTTTTTCTGCTCTAGCTAAGGAGTAAGTTATTCAAATACCAAGTCTTGCGCAAGACGAAACTGAAACAGATCAGGCAGAGTGTGAAAGATGAAATAGACAGCGTTTGGGCAGCTGGTCACTTCACTGAAGAATTCAAGAAGACTTGCTCTGCTTACCATAAAGGTGCTGGGTGATGGTTGTTGGTTGTTAGGTGTTGGTTAGTTTTTGTTGGTGGTTGCGTTTTGGTTGATTGTTCTTACTCCTAGATGTTGGTTATTGCACGTACGTACACACACACACACACACACTCATTTACATAGATATTGACACATACACATGGGTCTTTGTTGTTGATTGTAATTTATGATATGGTTGGTTTTTGTTAATTCTGTTTGTCGTTAGGTTTTGCAGTTTCATCATAGGTTTTAGCATTGCAAACTCTAATTTTTTCTCGATGTAACTTGAATAATATATTTAATCATAAGACAACGGTGGAAATCATACCCAGAACAACAGCAACAACAACAGCAAAGACGACAGCAGACGAGCTGGTGTTGTTAATAAAAGTAGCAAAAATATTAATAAATATAATAAATCTTGTCTTAACCATTCTAAAGAGCATCACAACAACGATAAAAATAATAATAATAATAATAATACTGATCACAATGATGACGACGACGATGAAGAGGAGAAGGAGATAGCAGCGTTGGAAGGGTACCTTGAAAAATGTAAATGCATTTCAGCTAAGCTCATTCCATTGAATGAGAAGATAGAGAGCTATGAAGAAACTTGGAGAGAACTGGAGGAAGTTGAAGTGAGGGGGATGAGGATGATGATGGCGGTGATGATGATGATGATGATAGCGTTGTTTTGATGATAATGATGTTATTCTTGATAACTACAGGCCAGACTGTCGGACCCAAACAAATTTCAGAACCGAGGAGGCAAGCTGTTGAAAGATGAAAATCTCAAGAAAAAAATTCTAACTATTCTACCTAAGGTTTCTCATTAGTTTTTTTTTCAAATTACCGCGTGCGTGTGTGTGTGTTTTATGTTTAGTTTTAAAAATAAAAAAATTCAATACTGTAAACCCTAAAATTTTTCTGAACACACGCATAGAATGAATCAGACATTAAGAAAGAACTGGAGGAATTGAAGGAAGAGTTTGGATACATGCACAGCATGTCGTCGTCATCATTTGCTGACTCATGTGACAGGAAATGGATCAACTATCACGATAAAAAAAACGGAGAAGCTGTCAACAGGGTTGTAGGGATGGCTGGGTTTTTTCATTAAAAAAAAAATTGTTTTAACTCTTGGGTTTTGTTGTATAGTTTATTTGTGTAACAACTAAATAACGATGTTATTTTCAGCATCGTACTAAGATGGAAACGATGAACCATGAATTGAGATACGGAAGCAAACCTGCCCCCGTTAACAAACGTCACGTCGCTTGGAATTATCCCAAGACCACTGATGACATCAAAAAAGTTAGATTGATGTTTAGAGTTCAAATCTCACCTCTATGTTTCAAATTATGTATCACATCACTTTAGCTTTAAACATTTGCAAAGTATAATTGAGGAACATGTATGTATATATATCTATAAAAGAATTTTTATATTTTAAACTAGGATTGTTTTATAAAATAAATTATTGAGATAATTAATTAATTTTTTTCTTGGACTAGAAACCGGCGCCATTGAAATCTCACAATCCTTCAACACACAAACATCTTGTTTATGGGCTGACTAGATATGCTAGCAAGGAGGTCTCTCACTTTTTTCACATTCCTTGGGGCTAACTTTTTTAAAGTTTTGTTAGCTCATTTTTGAAGTATTGCTGATTTTTTATATTTATTTTAAAAAATAATAAATTATTGACGAAACAAAAAGTTTTTCAATTTTCTTCCCAATGTCTGTTAGAGTTTAGTATCCCAGCCTACCTCTCTTCCATCACATCGTGCTCTCCAGCAAATTCCAGACTCAACTGACGACGATGCTGTTGATGTTAGATTACTTACTATTCAATGAAAATACTATTATTAAGCATAACAATTATTAGTAAGCATAATAATACTATCGGTCTATGCCATAAAAATACTTATACTTAATCACTGAGTTCCTTCATTTATTTAACTATCTTAATTTACAATTTAAGTTCTCCAATCTATTTTTATTAATTTCTTTCATTAGGTCTTTATTATTTAAAAGTATTTAATATTGATAGATTTAGTGGCGAGTATTTTTCTAATTGCACTTTAATTTTTAGGATAAAATGTTTCATTTTTAAATATAGTTAAAGGTGGCACTGTTTCGTTATTTAAAATCTCATTTTTACATCAGTGGTCCATATCATCATTGTGATCTTTGTTGTCTATTTAATTACATCTCTAGCAAATTACTATTGTAAGTTACTATTGTGTCAGTGTTGGTAGAATTTACTTGCTTGTTAGGTTACTAATTTATGATAGTATTTATATAATAGACAACAAGAATTAATGAGACGAGATTAATGAGATTCTAATTTAAATTTACCCATTTAGGTAAATTCTGTGATATTATTTATATTCTTTTCATCAGCCTCCGAGCAAAAGATTAAAAACGGATTAGATATTGACATCCCAGCACTTCCTTCAATTGTTCGAACAATAATTATTTATTCATTTACTCTTTCATTTTTTTCAATCAAACTCTTTTTTTTCATTCCTCAATCTCGGCACTAACATTGTTCAAAGCTTCGTATTACAGTTAAATTATAATAAAACATAAACACGTAACAATAAAAAATATTACTAATTTATTATTACAATTATGATTCCTTCAATATTTCATTATTGCAATAACATGAAAATGCACTTTTTAATATAATTAATTAAAAAATGCATTCAAATATTACCGGTATTAATTTTATACCATTTAAATAAGTTGCTTCTTGTTCCTTGTGTTGTGGGTAGAACTCGTTTTTTTTGTCAATAGTTTTTTCTAGTTGTTACTTTTTTATGTGCTTGTCATAATTTTCATATTTTTTTCATTTCTTAACCATGTGTGACTTCATTTGCATGCTTATTTGAGTTCACTTCCAATTTGACGACTTAAAACAAAATATTGATAAAATGTTAATTTTTTATTGTTAATGAAATTTACATTTTTCAAACTGTATATAGGGTGATCTCATGAATGTTTCCGCCTACTCCGATGGAGCTGAAAGCTAAAAAAATCCGAGCAAATTGTTATTAAAATCGACAGTTTTCATGGCGTACGAGCGAATTTTTGTGGGTGCTTTTTTACAGATTTCTACGAACTGGTTTTATTACTAACTGCACATTAAGTCATTTTACGGATTTGTATTTGAACAACATGAAGATAAGAAAATACTAGTTGGTATACATATATAAAATATGTATTTTAAAAAATTTCGTTGGACATATTGCACTTAATTTGAACTATTTTGATTCATTTGTTTTAATGGAGTGAACTGTTTTTTTAAGAAAAACCTCTATATATTCTAGTGGAATGAAAATGAATAAATATATATAAATCTTTAAGACGTACGTAGTAAAATCATGTATTGAACACAGAGTATGGTAGTTGTGGAATGAAGTGTACATATATACTTTAAAATATCAGTAATAGCTTATATATGTATATGGCTTATATATATATAGGCTTATATATATATATATATATATATATTGCAGCATGAATTCGAAAAATAAGTTTATTTTGAATTTTAATAAACTTGACGTTCACCAAAAAACTTTAGTGAGAAAAATCGAAAAAACGAACTACAAACATTAACGCCAAACATTCGGTAGAATTTATAGAATATTGTAAAAATTATGGTCTATTACCAACATATATATATATATATATATTCGTTTTCGTAATATGTAACATTCATATTTTACTAAAATTAGTGTACTACGGGGTAATCAAGGTTTCAACCAAAATAATAAGTTACAAATTTAAAAAGCTTTCCATAAGATGGTGTTTTGGTATATTCATCTTATTTTGCAATATTTTTATAATATCGGTTGTTAGCGGTGTTTGCTTATGTAATTTTCTATTTAAAAATAGTAAATGTTTCTATTTTGAAAGATTTTATATTATTCGCTAATTAACAAAATGGCCAACAGCGATAAAATGAACGTTTCCACGAACCCTGTTGTATTTTTTGACGTTGTTGTTGGCAGCACAGTAACTTTCTTATATTTTTTCACATTTTATTTTATGGCTTGACAACATAATTAATTAATAATATTAAGGTTTATAAATTAAGCGAAGCATTTTAATTTAATTTTTATTTTAAATTTTATTTATTTTTTGACTATGTGTACACTGTACAGTAATTATTGATTGACCTGACGTTTCATACTTTTTGTTTTAGGAAATTGGTAGGATCAAGTTTGAACTGTTTGCTGACATTGTACCCAGAACAGCAGAAAACTTCAGGTGGACCATTTTTTTAAATTTTATTTTTGAATTTAACTTTAACTTTTTATTATTAAGTATAAAATATTAATTAATTAATAATTTTTCGTTTTTGTCACTTAAATAGTAATTACAAATTCAAATTTTCATTTAATGATTTAATATTTTTTAAATGTTTATTAATTTTTAAAAATTTTTATTATAGATATTTAAATTATAAATTAAGATAATATTTCATAAACAAATTGCAGGCAGTTATGTACAGGAGAATACAGAAGAGATGGTGTACCAATAGGTTATAAGAAAAGTACATTTCATAGAGTGATCAAAGATTTCATGGTGCAAGGGGGAGATTTTGTTAATGTATGTTGTTCATTTAATAATTTTTTTAAGGTTTAAAAATGAAATTATCAGTTTTTGTTTAATGATTAATTAATAAATTATTTTAAAAGTAATTTATTGATCATTAATTATAATTTTATTACCCAATCAGGGTGATGGTACTGGCTTAACAAGTATATATGGTGGTCCATTTGTTGATGAAAACTTTAAACTAAGACATTCAGGAGCTGGTATTTTATCTATGGTTAAAAATGATATTTTTTATTTATTTAATTTTTTCGAAGTCAATGCTCATTAAGCGAATTCGAATTAGTCATGCCATCATTGATAACTATGTAATTTATTTATGATCACCTTATATCATATAGGCAAACAGTGGTCCAGACACAAATGGATGTCAGTTTTTCATAACATGTGCAAACTGCGAATTTTTAGATGGGAAACATGTTGTTTTTGGTTAGATCATCTAATAAGACATAATCATTTTTTCATTCAGGCATATCAAATTTAACTAGTTATACCCTACATTTCTTTCCAGAATTGTGATGTTACATTTGTTGTTTTTACAGTATTTTATTTATTTGACTTACTGCAATGTGTGATTATTTAATTTTATTGTTTTTACACTGAAGGTAAAGTAATAGATGGATTGTTGGTTCTTCGGAAGATTGAAAACATCCCAACAGGCCCGAACAACAAGCCAAAAATTCCAGTTATCATATCTCAATGTGGAGAAATGTGATTGTAAATCAAACTCTATCAAACTTCATTTTTTAATGTTTTTGTTATTCCGAAACAAGTGTCACACCGATTTTTTGAGTTTTTATAATGTAGGCCTGTCAAAAATGCGTTTGTGATAAGCAAGCGTCACTAATACGTTCTTCGGCTCTTCGGATCCAAGCTTTTTTGTGTCTCGTGGTTCGTGTTTCATTTTTCGTTAAACATAAGTGTCTCAAGTGATATATAAAACAATCATTTGACTAGTTAAGTGTCTATTTTTTGACAGTATGTATTTTTGAATGTATGCGTCTTAATTGCACGCATGTATAATGCATTTATGGTCCCAACGCTTGCATATGTGTATACGTGTGTGTTGGTTCAACTTGAAGTAGAGTTTAATATTTCTTATCTTTGATATTAATTATTAAATTTAATATTAAATGTTAATAAAGTGTCGTCAGCGAAAAACCTAACTGGAAAGACACATCGTTCGGATTTGCAAAATGATTTATTATACTTTGGATATTTAATTAATTACATTGTAAATTCACTTTTAGTTTTATTTGTAAACTAAAAACTGTGTCTTGCGTTATCTTTCAATAAGAATCATCATTAAATTGTTTTTATTTCAACATAGTAATTTATCGTTTGATGTAGCTAGGTAGAAAAATGTCTAATGTTAATTACGAGCCTATTTCAGTGTGGGGCCGTTTGTACATATACGCCATCCACGGTTACGTCACTGAAGTGATGTTCACTGCCGCCTGGGAGTTCGTCGTCAACTACAATTGGAAGTTTCCGGGAATGACCAGTGTCTGGGCCCTCTTCATTTACGGATTGTCTACTTTAATAATTGAAAAATTATATTTCGTCATGAAGGACCGTCTGCCACTCTTGGCCAGAGCTTTAATATACACTGTTTGGACGTACTGTTGGGAGTTTAGCACTGGGTATGTTTTGAAACAGTTCAATGCCTGTCCCTGGGACTACACTCCATTCGAAAATGATTTCATGGGCCTGGTGACACTGGAGTATGCACCGCTTTGGTTTATAGGGTCTATCATTGCCGAGCAAGTTGTCATCAAACAGACAAACAGGTTAAGATGGGAGCCTAGTGATTTGGCAGTTCAGAACGATAAGGCTGTCACTAATATTGGTAAAGGTGGAGAAGATTCAGATGGTCAAATGAAAAATGGTGTTCTGAAAAATAAAAATTTATAAATAAATGATTTTTTTTATATTTTTTTAATCCTTCCTCCTTATCTATTAATATTATAAATTAATGATTAAAATTAAATGTAATTGCAAATAATATATTGAATGATTGCTTGAGTCTAATTATATTGATTTTAACATGTAAAGACATAATTGTTATTTTCCAAAATTTAACATATTTTGTATATTTGATAACATTTTGTATATTTTTATTTTTTTAATAATTTTAAATATTTATAAATTTAGGGTATTAGTGTTATAATGAAATGTACATGACATCTAGCCTTCACATGCAATTTTTACCACTGGTAACTACCACATGAACAGACGAAGTTATCGTAACTTTTGAATGTAGGAATTTTAATTTTTGTAGCCTAATTTTTTTATCCATATTTCATTTTAATTCTTTATGAGCTGGTTGAAATAATTTTTTATGAAGTAAAATATTAAATGCTTGCATTTATCGGTAACATTTTTGCATGTTATGTTTTTCTTACTACCTCTTCTCTCATTTTCTCTTTCTCTCTCCTTTTCACTCTCTCTCTCTGTCTTTCTATATAAATACACACACACACACACACATATAGATATATATATATATATATATATATATATATATATATATATATATATTATTACCGATGAATGTGCATAAGTTAATTAGGTATATTTATTGCATATGCATTTGATTGTGATGGATCATATTTTTATATAAAAAATAATGTTTGTTCTACTATATCATTTTGGCATTTACATTGAATTCATTCATCAAATCTTTGAGTCGTGTATGTTGTATATGTAAAGTATGTGTATCTATATGACATGATTTTCAATATTATACCTAATTTTAGTCTAGTCTAACTTGATTATGATAAATCTTTCAATATATTCATGGAATTTAAAATTTTTTAATAGTAAAGAATTTGACAATGAATAATTTCATTATTTTTTTTGTTTGTACCAATTATATGCTTTTAACTTTAAAATGTACAAATTGTGGATGGCGTTATTATATCCAAATAAATACATTAAACATAAAACATACACACACACACACACATATATATATATATATATTTATTTACTCACTTATACACATATACATATATATAAATATATAAATAATGATGTGATGATTATTTTATTAAACACTTATTGAGTTTATTTCGTAATATTCTCAGTTTAGGTGTTTGTAATGTTGTTATTCTCTTGACTGTAACAAATTAACTAACAATTTTTCATAAACCAAGTTGATATCTTTGTTTTAAATTTAAAAAATTGGACGGAATAAAATTCTTGGTAAAACATTCATGCAAAAATAAGTGTCAAATTCTCATTATAATACGCTACAGGTTACATTTCACAAGATCAGTGACACCTTTTCCATTGCAAAACTTGGTAATTGAAATTTTATTCTACTAAGTAGATGAAAAAAAAAAAAAAAAATTTTCAAATTATCTTCATGCAATCAATAAAATCAATAATTTCATATGGATGTGAAGATGAGTGTCTATAATTTAATTCTTACAGTTAATTATTCTCCATGACGAGCTCAACGCTAAATTACTTGTTGAGCGCCGAAGTTAAAAAAATAAATAATTTGAGTTCAAAATCGGTTTAAAATATTTCTTTCGCGTCATTTGCGATAATGTCGAGTTAGTTATTTTGCGTTCATTTTTCATTTTTTGGTTATTTATTATCGTCATAAGTAAGTGAATTAAGAAATTTTCTTTACAAATTCGTTTTTTCTACTAATTCACTACATACACTAGGCAACAAAAAACCGAAACCTAATTATGAAGAGTTCAGAAAGAGACGAGACGAAGAGAAATCTGCACGCCAGGAAAGGATTAAAGATCGTTTAAATGAAATTCGATTAAATAAGTTAGCAAACGTGGCGAAATTGAACGCCGAGCTCAAAGAAAATCAATTCTATATCGGTGCCATTGCAGGAGCAGGTGCAACTCAAAAAATTCAAAAAACTGGCTCTGTTGCTGCTGCCAACCAGAAACCACTGCTGCCGAACAATGCGAAAAAAACTGAACCAACTCTTCAAAGTCCCCCACTTGTCAAGGGATCACCAGTTAAAAGGAAAGTAGAAACGAAGGCAGCCATTAAAAATGTCCCTACCAAGAAGTCTTTTGGTGTTGGTGGGATTGTTTCTGCCAGTGCCAGGAAGTCACCAAGAGTGAACAATGTAAAGAGCAAAGTAGATTTGATCAGTAACAGAAGAAGGTTTGCTTATTTATTTATTTATTGAACTTTTAATTAATGTGCTGTTATTTATCCAATTAAAATTTAAATAATAAATTTATTTTTATTTATAATATGCATTTATTAAATGGTAATAAAATTTTGACCATATTATCTCAGAGAAGAGCTAAATGTTTGGAAGAAAGAAAAGGATTTGCAAATCAAAAAGAAGTAATTATTTTATGGTGTATTTATTTATTTTGTATAAAGTTAATTTAATATATGACTTATTAATAAATTGTATTATGAATTTATTTATGTAATATGTCTGCCACAGGGTTTTTTTATGTTTTTACAAATATATTGGCATAATTCATTTTTTAAAACTTTATAAATCATTCACAATGACCGATTTACTGTTCTTATATCTTGTTAATATTCTTATTATAAAATACTTGTAGATTAGTGTCATCCAACACATCAAAACTGGTCGGGCAAACAAAATCATTCCTGTCCAAAACTACATCAAATTTGTCTGCCGATAAAAAAAGTTTAGTAAAGAATAGTAGTACTGCTGTGAATAAAATCTCATTGAATAAAACAGTTAATCAGTGTCCACCGAATAAGCAAAAGATTGAAAATACTTTTTCAAAGTTGGTAAATTTTTATTTCACACATATTTAGCTATATATAAAAAATTTTTTTACAACATTTTTGCTCCAGTATGTTATCAGTAATTTGTTTGAATAAAGTCACATACATTATACATCAGTTATATTTATAATGTGCAACATAGTTACAAGACAAATTTTTTATGTTGTAAATTTTCAAAAAATATATTTCCAGAAAAGCAGTCCCCATCCAAATTGCACCAACATCAAAAAAGGCTTCGTCGGTCGCTGCCAGCCATCCAGCTCGTAGAATGACAGTCATCCATTCCAATGTGGTCACAAAAAGAAATTCATTATCCAAACAGTTTTTGAAGTCAAGAAAATCAATTGCAGTTGTGTTAGTAGGCTTTACGCCTTTGAATTATTTAATTAGTCAAATCATTTTTTATTTTTTTTTATTTTATTCGAATTAAATTTAAATCCTCGACTTTTTCATTTTAGAGCAAATAGTGCATTGGGTTTTTCAAATAAACACGATGATGTTGCCCTGAGGAAGACTGCAAACAACACTAAATCAACAACAAAGTACGTTATAATTTCTGTCCTTGTTATTATATCCATTTGTCTAATCTATTTTTTCAAGTCCGATTTTAAATGTTGCACACCAATGCATGCTCTCTTAGAAATCAACAATCACACATTTTTTTATTCACCTGTTCATTTTCTCTTGTTTCATTCATTCTCCATAGATACATCTTACAGGCATTCATAAATCCAATCATTCATCATTTATATCAATCATTCATCCTTCCATTTTTTCTTCAGATCAGCTGAAGTAGTGATAGCAGCGACACAGCAGCCACTAACCACAGAACTGCAACCGCATAATCAACGGGCAACAACGTCAGCAGCAGCAACATCCACAACTTCAACACAACCACAAAAGCCCATTTCTTACACAATTGACATCAAGCCAATACCTTCTAGCGTAACAAAGAGAAGAAGGACAACCATGTTTAAATCACAGTATCAACCAAAGGAAAACCTGACTAAATCAGTCATGAAGTTTGTTTTTTTTTCTTATTTTCTTATCATTTTTTGTGTAAAAGTTGGCTCCATCAATTTATTTTATCAATGTTCACAAGAAGTGTTTCTCTTACTAAGATTAATTTTGTGCTCAAATACCTTTAACTTCAAAACATTGAAAATTTCATCAAGTTGTACAAAAATTTTTTTAAATTATTCATAAAGTTGTAATTATTTTTGAATCTTGAAGAGAGAAGTTGACAGATTGGTTGAAGACCCAGGGCAAATCACCGACTGCCTACAAGCGTCACATGTGCTGCTACGGTCTGCACAAGGATTCACCCTTACACTCGTCCACTACTAAAGTTTGTGTTTGTTGTATTGTATTGTAATGTATTGTATTGCATCTTTTTTGTATTTGTTGTATCTAACCTCTAAAATACTCTATAATTTTCAATGAGTTGAATTAGTGGATAATTGAAATGTTAATCCATTAGAAAGCACAGCCTAAGGAGCATATGAGGTTGAAGAATTTAAAATTGGAATCCATCAAATTGCCATCTCTCTCAATCTCTCTCAATGCCATCTCTGACAACGACGACAACATCACCAGTGATAAAAACGACGTTAAAACGTTAACAATAACTGAAGAGCCAGCATCATTAGATAAGAATGAAGAGCCGACATCATCAGATAAAAGAGAAAGGAGGACCACAGAGGGTAATGTTGCTGGCTGTGTAGCACCACAATCTGAAAGAAAGTTGCCAAATAGAGGTGTAAGAATAATGGGTGAAGTCCAGGAAAAAAATGTCTTTAGGTCTTCTGATATTTTCTATCTGTGCAAAGAGTTGGTAGTTTTTTCAACTGGTTCTTATTTCATTATTATTAAAATTTACGTTTTTATTTTCTCTAAACTCTCACCTCATTGTTATTAGTTCATTGTTTCAGTTTTCAAAATGATATTTAGTGTTGAATTATTATTAATATGGAGATACCATGCTTGATTTAGTTTCCTTTTTAGTCCTGTATGTCATTTTATAAACTCATTTTGTCATTCAATCCATCTTTTAATATTTCAAAATGTTCTTGCCCCATCCTCACAGAATCAAAGAAAATTTGAACAGAACATCCAGCTTTTTGGACAGAAGTAGTTTGATAAACGTTGACTGCAGCAGCAGCAGCAACAACAGCAAAAGTCAAACCACCCCAGCGTCAAAAAGAAGCTTCGAAAAGTCCATCATTAAACCTGGCAAAACAAACAATGATGGTGATGAAAAGAGAGATGATAATGGAAATGACAAGAGAGATGATGATGGAGGCAAGAGAGAGGGCGATGATAAAAAAGATGAACACCTCGGGAACAAAAGCGTTAAAAAATGTCGTTTCCATCACGACGAAAAGAGAAATGGGAGAAACGATAACGATGATAAGGGTGGTGATGGTGATGAATCAATTCCGCCATTTTTTGGTACACCACATAAAAAGTGCTACGTCATCACGCCAGTTCGAAGGTCAACCAGAAAGAGTTGTCTTGCCACAAAACACTCGGTAATGGTGCGTTGTTGTTCACTTTCTTTGTCTATATATTTTATATATATATATATATATATATATATATATATATATATATATATATATATATATATACACGCACGTGTATATACACATACAAGCGCACAACACACACATTTGTATGTTGCATATTCATGTGATGATTTTTTTCATAAAGTAGGCCAAAATTCTCAAGTTTTTTCGTTTTACGAGCTCAATTTTCATATTTCTCAAATTAACTACGTCGTTACTTTCCAAGGATGGTGACGTCATAGTGGAATCGATGGATGAACTTCCTGTAGAGACGAAGGAAAGAAGCATCTTCAGATCAAATAAGAGAATAGCCATCTTTGGAAACTCGGATGCTGAAAGGGATAACCATAACAATAATAATAATAATAATAATAATGGTGGTGGTGAAATTGATGGTAAAGGTGTTGAGGAGAGTATGAATGATGACGATGATGATGTAAATAGCGATGATGGTGATGGTGAAAATGCTAAAAGGCAATTGGAGTTTGATTGAAATCATACTGTCGACTCTGTTCGTGTGTATAATTGAAATGCATGGCCGCAAACTGATACACAGTATTTATGTCGCAGTATGTATGTATCTATGTATGTATGTATGCCTGATGTTACAAATGATAGCCTCTATCTATGTCTTATTGATATTATCAAATATTATTCAAGTGCATGTTATATGGATTATTTCACGTTAACCAGTTTTGTTATTTATGCAGCGCTTTTTTTTAGAAACTTGAGTAACTTCTTAATCGCACGTTTTAATGTTGATTTTTACTCTCTGTTAAATTTGCTTACTTTGTAATAACTAACATTTGTTTTATCCTCCGTAGTATTTTGTGTACATGTACATGTGTATGCATTACGAACAAATCTCAACTCTATGTAAATTATGAACTATTTGAATTCTTATCTCTATTTCTATTCATTATGAAATGTGTCTGTCTTTTGTTTGGATTTATATGTTTGGAGGATGGTGTAGATTATAATTAAAAAAAATTTAGTTTGATACAGCCGAGTGCTTATGTTAAATAATAATAAATGAATTGTTCTTATTTGAAATCGAGAGCCGTTTTATCATTCAAAAGTCAATCAAATCAGTTTAATTTTTCCTCTTGGCATTTCAATTTCCATACAATCGTGAAAATTTCTTAAAATAAAAATTGTATCATCCACAAATCGAAACACGATCCGGATTTGGTGAATGGCTGGCTGTCAGCTCCAGTTTCTAGACAATTCACCGCAAGTGTGCCTGTGCAATCAAGTTTTAATTGTGGGACTCTTACTTCTACGTTTCACCACTGAAGTACTATATTGAGAGTTTATGTTACTTTTTATCCTTCTTGAGATCAATTTTTAACAAGTATTTATACTTAAGTAACTCCTTATATCACTTTTACTTGAGTAACACTTTATATCGCTTGTACTTTTACTTAAGTACTGTAGTTCTGTACTTTTTACAACACTGCGTTGTCAGCGTAAGACGTGCTGCAAAGTTTTTCAAAAGCCTTCGTAATTCAATTTTAAAACGTCTGCTTATACATATGTATTTACATCACACACACACGTAAATGTGTGCATGTGTATATATATATGAATGTGTGTGTGTATATATATATATATATATATGAATGTGTGTGTGTATATGAATGTGTGTGTATGTTTGTGTGTGTGTGTAATATATGAATGTGTGTGTGTGATGTGTGTGTATATATGAGTGTGTTTATCTAATTATCTAAATATTTAAACACGACTGTAAGCAGACTTGAAGATAATTTAAAACAAAAATTCATCGTTAATACTAAACAGCTAAATATTAAACTAGATATAAACAGAGATTATATCGTAATGAGAGATTAAACATGATTTATTATAAATATGTGAATATAAAATATAGTTATATAGTTATATTATAAATATATAATTTAATAATATAATTACATAATAAATATTATATAATATAATTATATAATAAATAATACAAATATGATTATATAACGAAAGATTAAATATGATTTGAGGCGATGATGATGATGATTGTGATAGTGATTATGATGATGATGATAATTATGATGATGATGGTGATGACTGGATAGTAAAGAATTTTTTGAATGTTTCAAATTGGAATATACCAGCGAATCTTGGTTAAGGCCTTAGACTTCTTTATAGTATAGATGTGCATGGCTAAGTCACTCAGTGCTGCTGTTTAATTGCAAAGAAATACCCACCCATCACATGCACTGTGTGTGTGTGTGTGTGTGTGTGTGTGTGTGTATGTGTGTGTGTGATCTGTGCGGATTCACGCGTGTTCACATGCACTGTGCGTAGTTGATACCTCTGAGCTGTAATCGAGAAGGAATTACTAACAATAAAATCAATTTTTTATGAAAAATTCATCAAATTACAATGACAATGTAGGCGTTCGTTACAGTATATAACACATGTACTACAACTACTAAAACATCACCAAACACTGAAGCATTTATTTATTTAGCACAAAAAAAGTAAAATTATACCTGTAACAATGCTACCTAATTTATTGTGTGCTTGAAATTACAAAATTACAATTACAAATTACAACAGATGATGATTACAGCAAGAGATGATATGGAATTAAATAAAGTAACAATTTAACATCACAACAACAACAACACAATACTAACAACAACAACAGCAACAACAATAACAACAACAACAGCAACAACAATAACAACAGTACCAACAACACCAACAACAACAACAGTACTAACAACCAACAACATCAGCAACAAAACTAACAACAACATCAGCACAACGTCACAACCAGTTGCAACACTAACAACAACAATTTCATTCTCCAAACGTAAACACAGGGCGTTTGTACTTCGGAATTTGGCACCCGTGCAAAAATCACGTTTCACTACATTTCTGATTGTGACACTAAGGTAGCTACGAGTGCTGACTATTATTTGTTATTACTACTACTATTGTTGTTATTATTACTGTTATTGTTGTGGCTGTTGTTGTTGTGTTGTTGTTGTCGTTTTGTTGTTTTGTTGTTGTTGTTGTTGTTGTTGTTGTTGTGTTGTTGTTATTATTAACTTTATTTATTTAGAGAAAGTTTTTAATACCACTGATATTGCTGCTGATGTGTGGTTAACATTTTTGTATAGCTACAACAACTAATAAATAATAATAATAACAATAATAATATTATTATTATTAATAAAATCATTGATAATAATGTTAAACAAAATATAATTTTTATAAATAAAAAATGAACGGACTCATTGCAAGGTCCAAAGAATTTTTTTTCAGTTGGTAGCGTAAACATTTATCACGTCACATTAAAATTAAAACATGACAGCAATGAAATGCTATGAGAAAAATGTTACAATATTAGAAACCTGACGCGTAAAATTAATAATAATAACTGAAATAATATTAATAATTAATTAATAAGAAGAATAATAAGAATAAATAATAATAATGATAATTAATAATAAGAATAAATAATAATATAGATAGTGAAAGTAGCTCCCATATATATGACTTAGAAAAAGGTTTCAATAAGATGTTGCTTCCATATTTTTACCGTATCAAGATGTATTGTATAACATTCATTCATTTATTATTCATATATTCATTCATTCCTTCATTCGCTCATTTGTTCATTCGCTCATTTGTTCATTCGCTCATTTGTTCATTCGTTCATACGTTCATTCGTTCATTCATTCATTCGTTCATTCATTCATTCGTTCATTCATTCATTCGTTCATTCATTCATTCGTTCATTCATTCATTCGTTCATTCATTCATTCGTTCGTTCATTCATTCGTTCGTTCATTCATTCCTTCATTCATTCATTCATTCATTCATTCATTCATTCATTCATTCATTCATTCATTCATTCATTCATTCATTCATTCATTCATTCATTCATTCATTCATTCATTCATTCATTCATTCATTCATTCATTCATTCATTCATTCATTCATTCATTCATTCATTCATTTATTCATTCATTCATTCATCCATCCATCCATCCATCCATCTTACTTGTACATCATCACATAAGAACGTCACATTGGACTATCCTACTCACCACACAAGTCAACTTTGTTCACTTAATTAACCCTAGTCACATGTGCACGTGTGTTGTGAGTGTGTGTGCTTGTCTGTGTGTGTGTGTTTGTGTGTGTACGCATGTGTGTGTATACAGTATGTATCAATGGGTGTACATGTGCATGATAGTGTATGTTTGTCTGTGTGTGTTTGTTTGTATGCATGCGTGTATGCTTCGATGGGTGTACTTTTTGTATATACATGGGTGTATTTTTGTTTATCATTGTGCGTTAATGTACAAAGAATTTTTACGTTTGTGTGTATGCATATACGTGTAGGTTACATACATCATATATACATAATGTATATAGTATATATATATAATGTATATATATATATATATATATATATATATATTGTATATATATAATATATATAATGTATAAATGTAATGTATGTGTATGTGTATGCATACGTGTTTGTGTGTGTGTGTGTGTGTGTGTGTGTGTGTGTGTGTGTGTGTGTGTGTGTACAACCGCCAGGGAGCAGATATATTTATAAGATGCGTTAGGAGGCTTCAAGTAACCGCCACCAACTTAGTAAATTTGTGGCATCTTGGTTTTTTGTTACTCAAGTTGGTTACAAGTTTTATATTAAGTTTTATTTTCACGTAACTTAATTTATTTTTAAATTTTTAAAAATCTTTTAAAGTATATAAATATATATATATATATATATGTGTGTGTGTGTGTGTGTGTGTGTGTGTGTGTGTGTGTGTGTGTGTGTGTGTGTGTAGTTTTTGTACGTGTATGCACGTGTAAAATTACGTATAATTAAATTAAATAGATAAAATACATTAAGTTAAATAGCAATACTTTGTAGTGTAGTGTAATGATAGAAGATAAATGTTTTAATGTTTTAACATCATTAACACTTACAATATTCAGCTGTACTTTAAGTAGAGTTACTCGCAAATTGTACTGTTTGACCGACCAATAATGCAACAAGCATTGAAGGTAAGTTTTTTTTATTTTATGTGTATAAATTTCTAATTTTGTGAGTTTTATTTTTATTAGGTAAATATATTTTGTGTTATTTTTGTATTTATGAATTTCAAATATTTTCAGTTTTATTATTAATTAAGTTTTTATCAATCATCAATTCATTCATTCAATCCATCAATCAACCAACCAATCAATCACATGGAGAATAAAAAATGCCAATTGGCAATTATAATCAATATAAACAAAGATTATCTATCCTTTATTTAGCATATAATAGAATTTAAAATAATCATCTCTTCCTAAAAACCTATATTTTATAAATAAAAAAGTTCTGCGTATGTATGTGTGTGCGTGCTTATGTGGCGTGTGCGTGTGTGCGCGGAGTGTCTGTAAACGTAATAGTTAAACATTATTATTATTATTATTATTATTATTATCATCATCATCATCATTATTATTATCATCATCATTATTATTACTATACGTTTTAAAAGCCTTCAAAATTAAAATTTAACAAACATCTTCTTAATGACATGCATCGTATGCATCATGTGGTAGAAATATTTAAAATACTTTTTATATAATGACAGCAATTATAACTAAATACTCACTACTACTACTACTACTTACTACAACTGGTATTACTACTACTACTACAACTACCGCTGCTGCTATTGCAGCTGCTGCTGCTACTGCAGCTGCTGCTGCTACTACTTCTACACTAATTATACTACCACATAACAAGTTAGAATAATTAAACAGCAGCTTAACGACGAGTTGTTATTATTAATGGATCTTCAAATAGTGGCTATCAAGAAAAAAATGTCTGTACGTGCTTCTGTCTGTGTCTGTGCATGTGTGAATGTTATCATTATCAATTGTTGTATTTAGTTTAGGCAGTTAGTGTTTGGCTTACGATATGTCTGAATTAGTTTAAGATAACTTATCCATAGCCTATTAACTGTGTATTTTAATCATAAAAATGACGATTTAATAATCTGACTATGACAGTGTATTTGGCGACAATGACTGTGACTTCGTTTCGTTGTTAACATCGCCATTCTTATCTACTGTACATTGCACGCTAATATTTTCATTCATTGCTTGTACCATTGTTAAGGATTTTAATATTGATATATCAGTGACGATAAAAAAAAAATTGAATGTAGATAAACACACGCAAAAACACCTACACACACACACGCATAAACACCTACACACACGCGCGCGCCTACACATACACGCACGCACGCACACAACAGAAATACACACACATACTTGCAGTGATTATGCATATGTGTTTTTTTTGTAGCCAAACACATTTACACGTACAACACACATATAAAATATACAAACAAGAAAAAGAGAGAAAGAGAGAAGGATAGAGAAAATGAATAAAAGAGAGATAGAGAAAAAGAATGAGACATGAACCTTTGGAACACTTGAACAGTTAGTTATCAGATGATGATGATAACTGAAGTTAGAACTACATTTATATGTGTGTATATGCGTGTGTATATATATATGTATATATATATATATATATATATATATATGTATATATATATGTATATGTGTGTGTGTGTGTGTATGTATATGTGTGTGTATGCACGTGTGATTTTGTCTATGTTTGTATATATAGGGTCCAGCAATTGTTTAATTTTGTTATAAAAATTCGTGTCTTTCTGAAGAAGAGTTTTTTGACTTGTTTTATATTTTGTAATAAGTGGTTTGTGTTCGCATTAAAACAAGAAATTATTGACAATTATCAAGAAATTTAAAATGATATATATTAATGATAATTATTCATAATGATAATAATAAATAATTATGGAAATTATTATGATAACATGAAGTTCTTTTTAACGTTATAACGATTGTCGTGCGAAAAAGTACTCGACGAACGGCTGAAAGAATTGGGAAATATTCAAAAATAATATTAATACTCACCGACCACACACATCTACACATACAAACACACACACACATACAATCAATCATACGCACGAACACATATACACACAGTTATAAACGTAAAATTTAAGTAGCAATAAATGTTGGTTAACTGAAAATAAGCAGGCGTTTTATATAGCAAGTCACACCCCACACACACACAAGCATACACAAACACATATACTTACACAAACACACACAAACAAACATATACTTACACAAACACAAACACAAATACGCGCTCATATGAAATAGCGATTTTATTTAGACAAATGTTTGGATGAATAACACTGTCTATTTTCATTAGAGAGTTTAATAACTTTTTTTGTTATCTTTTTCAGTTCGTGAAAAAAACTAAATTGTACATTTAAAAATATTAAATTTTCATTTTCAGAACCTTGTTACAGAGCAAAAATATAAAAGAATACAGAAAATACATGCAAAGGCATTCAACCAATGATGAAGAACTATTGATACAGACGTTCAATTAAACACGCGATGTTTTTCACCGCCTAATCCGCGCCTACAAGTATCAACACCTAGAAATCGACTCCAAATACCGGTATAATATACCGACCAGATGTACCAATCGAGTAATATCGATGTGAGAAGCGTTGCGAGGGTTGAATATCGCCATGGGCCGTCGACCGAACCGAACTATTCGTCGGATCAGCTAGTGTTGTCTTTCTGTTGCAAAGTCCAGAAAGGATAACAAAGGCTTTTTCGACGGAAGTTTGTTTTCTGTTGATGTTTGTTTCTTGCAATATCTGGTGAGATTCAACTCCTCCAACTACTTCTCCACATCTAATTCATCACATTCATCATTATCCTCATCATCAACATCATCATTGTTATCTTTCTTTTCAACGTCATAATAATCATCGACATCATCATCATCTTCCTCTTTTCATCATCATCTCACCCACCCAGTCATCTTTAGTATTTTCCTTTTCAACTTCATCGCCATTCCTCTCATCGTCCAAATGACAAAATTTAATCATGAAATATTTTAAAGATAGAAATTAAACATTTTGCCCGACTTCGTTAGCAAGGATTTAGTATAAGTTTGTATATGTGCGTATGTATAGACAGACCATTGAATGGTTAGTTGTATGGATGTGTAAATATCTGTATATCTGTGCGTGTGTGTTCGTAAATTTGTACGTGCATATGTGTTTGTGTATATCTATGTAATAGATACTATACATATACAATTGTGTACCTGTACATTGATATAAATATATATATATAATTATATATATATATATATATATATATATATATATATATATATATATATATATCAAGAAAACAACGTCCTACCTCGAGGAGCTGGGTCTCTGGACGGTAAACGAAGATTGATACACATACACAAATATATAGATACATACATACATACATATATATATATATATATATATATATATATATATATATATATATACACACACCACACACACACACACACACACACACACACACATGTATACAATTGTATCAAATATAAAATTTTGCTTACAATACAATTTAGCGGCGTGTTTCAGATGAACCAGACAAGGAACGAACGACACTTCACAATGACCTTTGCCTGGTTAGCAAGCATTCTTCAACAACTTCTAACTATTTACTTGAGCTATCTAACGTGTATGTGTGTGTGTCTGTGTGTGTGTGTGTGTGTGTGGTGTGTGTGTGTGTGTTTGTGTAACAACACTAATCACTAGGACAACGATTAATCGTGATAACGCATATTGTGTTGATTTAATGATATGTTGGTGAATATGATAATATGATGATGATACATGTAATGATTGCAGGGATCGGGACTATGATGGTTATAACTGCGATGAAGACATTGTGATGACGATGATGACGAATGGAGAGGATGATTAACAACGAGTAACAACGACAAATGCATTATTTGTTAAACACAGTTACACAATTTTTTGCCGTACACATGTTTTTTATATTTGGTGTAACGTATTTTCCACTTATTTAACAATTCAAGATAAATTTTTGTATCTATATGATACAGCTGCCAAAAAGAAACCGCTGAAACTTGTTTTTTTTCAAAGTAATAAAAAATTCTTAAAATTTAAAAAAAATTGGTGAAAATTTTAATATTTTTGTGTGATGATTTCGGGTTTTTGTTGCTTAAACACACCTTGATTTAGCGAACTTGAACATTATTAGCTTAGCTCGTTTTATATAGATTTATAGACCAACCATTGTAGTTTTTAGTAGATTTTTGCAAAACTTCGTGTATAAAAGTATATATTATAGACGAACTTTGCCCGAATGATGAATTAAAAAGCACTGTAATTGACACGTTTTGAATATATAGTTTATTCAACTTTAATCATTAACTTTTGTAAGAGTCAAACATTCACAAAGTAATTTTTATTAGGAAAAAAAGTGTTTGAAATAATTGTAAAGTTTCAGCTGACAACGGAAATACGAAATAACGTTTTATTGCACGTATAATATAAATAACAATGAATAAATGAAATAAGAACAGCAATAAAAATAAATTTTATTATCACGCGTTTATTTATATTCACTTACATTTATTGAGATTTTATATCTGGCAAACAGAACCTTACAATACTTCAAAATTCAAGTGGCTCAGTCACTTGAAGCGTCAAATAGCTGTAAGAACGAATATCACAAATGCATGAAATATATAACAATTTATACAATTCGACAACAATACCAACACTACTAATGCTGCTACTATTAATACTACCGCTTCTAGAATTACTACTGCCATTGACAATCAAGTATTTATTTAATTTATACCAGCCAGACATTATTATAAATATTATTAAACTCCAGCAGAATTAGGCATGAAACCCATAGGCAAACCCACAGGCACACAAACTCAGAAAAACTCCGACAAATCCTTTTCACTTTTTGCAAACGAATGAATTATAAAGACGAAGAGCCCGTGAATATTCCTTAACGTAGATGTTCCTGAGAACGTTAGTGAATTCGTCAACAGGTTTGCATGTCAACATTTGCAGCTGGGCCAGCCAGAACTCCACCCTCTTCCTAGCTTGTGATCTGGGGTAGGATGTGTTGGGTGGTATACTCTATAATTATTTGTTAAATATAGTTCTTGAATATATAATTAACACGAATTTATATGTGAAAAAAAATATTTGTATATGCTCTAAGTTGACTCTCTCAAATGAAATAAAGACCAAATAGGTTGAATTAATTACGTTAAATTTTAATTAAAGTATGACTGAACAAATAAACAAACAAAAGAATGAAGGGGAGATAAGAGTGAACGAAAAAAATACATAAAAAACGAATGCCTGCACGCACGAACGAATGAATGAAGGAACAGCAAATGAACGAATAAAATGAACAAAACGAATTATTCAGCAAACCTGGACTTTGTGCCTCTAGCAATGCACGAGCTGGCCTTAAGTATCAGACAAGAACATTTTAAAATTATAATAATAATTATGATTATTACTATTGTTGTTTGTTATCATCATTATTATAACTTATACAATATTAAAAATAACAAGAAAAAACCCGCCATAATTCCAAATCAACTTACACACGCACACCCAACAAAGCACACATCCAATTATTTACAAACACAGGCATGTATGTGGCATTTTCGTCATCATCTTTTTAAAAAGGCAATTCAAATTAATTGTGGAAAAGTCAAAACAACAATGAATAAATGATCTAATTAAGAGTTGCATTAGTAAGGATTGAAATGAACATACTCTGCATATGTTGCTGCAACTTGTCGCCGAACATTTCTGAGGCAGGTCTAGTGCAGGATAACTTTGTTTGATTGAAGCCGAGGTCTGAATAGCGAGGATTCAACAGAACATAGCAATTAAAAATAAATGAGAAGTAGATAACATTATAAAAATTTTTAACCGCGAACTTGAGAAAGCAATAACCTAATAAAAAAAATCTTTTTAGAAAACAAAATTGATTTTACTATATCAGAATCTCTTCTACCATCATCATCACCATCATGGCTGGCTTTGCTACCACTTGCATTACTGCAGTTACATTCATCATCATCGTCACCATTATCATAATTATTACGACAAAAGTCATCAGTATCATAGTCGTCGTCACAATCATTTCTTCCCCCAGTTCTGCCTAATTTAGAGTTAGGTTGTTTGTGTGCGCAATACGGCCTTCCGAGGTATTTCAGATAAGACTTGCAGATTACGCACTTATTATCGTCATGGCACAAGCTATCTGCGTCTGGCATGACACCTACGGAAGGATTTGTAAAAAAAAGGCGGTTATACCTGCATAGCACAAAATGCACTGAAAATAAAAACACTGCAGTGAACAGAATTTGAACATTGTTACAGTTTGTCTATCTTCTAGACATTTATTAGAAAATAAATTAAGCATCCATAAATAAATACATAAATAAATATCTTTCATGTACATCTGTCAGCATTTCTAGACTTGAGTTCTTTCATCAATTCACTTTGCCTCAGTTTAGTAACCTTTAAAATTTGTAATTTTGACTAAACTTGTTTAATTTCTATTAAATTAAAGTTTAATCTTTTAACAAACAAACAAACAAACAAACAAACAAACAAACAAACAAACAAACAAACAAACAAACAAACAAACAAACAAACAAACAAACAAACAAACAAACAAACAAACAAACAAACAAACAAACAAACAAACAAACAAACAAACAAACAAACAAACAAACAAACAAACAAACAAACAAACAAACAAACAAACAAACAAACAAACAAACAAACAAACAAACAAACAAACAAACAAACAAACAAACAAACAAACAAACAAACAAACAAACAAACAAACAAACAAACAAACAAACAAACAAACAAATCGTAATTAAATGATCTATTTCTTATACCTGTGAGAGTAAAAAACAGGATGAAGATCTATAAATGATGGCATCCACCCAGAATTTGAGAATAGGTTGGCAATCCTGAAATGTATGTTCATGTGGGTTATTCGTTCCTCTTTAGTTTCATTACAAATTTTTGAAGAAGGGGTAGATAAATAAAAGTTGAACTTATTAAAAAAAGTTGGCAAAAATGCCAATAATATCAAAAAGGAAGAAAATTTATTTATTAAACGGAATAAAATTATAAAAACTTTAAATGGAAACATTTTCACAGTGTGATACTTCTGTATGTAACTTGGTGGAAAGAAAAAGATGGAGGCAGGCAGTTTCTTGGTAGCCAGTATGTTCATCTGTGACTGACACGAGTTCTTCATACGAGTCACTTCTAGCAGATTAAATATCACCACAGAATCTGAAAATTATTTTTAATCTATTAAATGAATTTTTAATATAAATTTTACTCTCTGTAAATATTGAATATGAAACTATTAACTAAAACACTTAAATTTAGTTACCTTTGAATAGTTCAATCAGGCATGGCAATGTTAATTTTTTATCTAACTCCTACAAATAGATATTTTAAAATTAGAAATATAATTATTGAAAAAAATTATAAACAATAATTAAATTTAAAAAATGATAAAATTGATTATTAATAATTATATAGAAATTATTTACTCTAGTCTAGTACCAACTTTCTTATATTTGAATTTTTCATGGAAGACCAATGGCGCAGCCGTTGTTAGGTGTTTTGTGTAGAGTTTGTCACCAAAAATGCATGTCTCCAGCAATACTGTTCTTTTTATGAAGGAACTGTTTAGAGTACTTGATATCTTTATGAAAATTTAGTAATTTCAATTTAAAATAAAAAATAAAAAACTACTAGCAGTAATAATGATAACACTTATTTATAGTTTTAAACTAGACAGGACATTTGACTAGAGATTAGAATTTGACTGGAGACGATTCTAAGGATCTAAATTCTAACTAAGCTTAAGAACTTTATTTATTAATTAAGATCTATCTATCTAGTCTAGTAGATAGTATAGTTAAGTAGAAGAGATACAGGTCAGGTAGGTTGATTCAAATTAAGAAGTTACACAAGTCACTAACTTTTGCTCCTAATGTAAAAAATAAAGACGCAAAAATCAAAAAATGCAATAGCTTATTGCTAGTAATGGTAAGTTAAGTAAGTGGTAGTCACACACACACACACACACATACACAAAATGACAAAAAACATAACAGGACAGACCGATTCGATTTCAATTTCCGCTGAACAGGCTAATGCCATGAAAAATGCAAGTTTAACTTTCAATCATGTCCACTTAGTTCTCACGTTTAAAATTTCTCAAATGATCCGGAACAACTTAGGCTTTTTAATTTTAATAATTAATTAGGCATTTTAATTTTTCGAACATGTCTAACATGGCGCCGAAGTTTAAAAAACATTTCGGAGATGTGCAATCATATTTAATAATATTTGATAGTTTAAAAAAGTCTATAAAATTATATTGTTCTAATCTCCTGAAGATCCCACTTCTGACGCCAGTGTTGTAACATCCTTGACCTCGTAACTGCCAACACCGATGTTATAGCCTCAATAATCTCTATACTCCAACACCGTGTTGTAGCTTCCAGCGATAGTCAAGAGTTCGTTTATCCGTAGGTTCAAGATTTCCGATAGATGAACACGACTACTTCAAACGCAAACTTAGTTGAACGTTTATTTGAATACCGGCGGTAATAGAAACAATAAATAACTCCAAATAACTACATAAACCACATTCGCATCTTCGCATCGAATCACAACTTTTACCACTCAACCATGGAATTATATAACTTTCATAATTATATAACTTATATAATTCAATGCACTCAACTGAGTTCCGTCTTCTTCCTTTGTTGATTTTTTCTGCTTCATCCTTTTGTTTCTGGAACCTCTTCTCTTTATGTAGCTACCGATCTGCTTGTAAATGTACCAAATAAAAGTGTCACGTCTCTAAATGAATTTGCAACCCTTTAATTAATTTACAACCCTCTAATTAATTTACAAGCTTGTTCATTTCTCAATGCATGCTTAACGATTTCTAACTATTAGTCCTTATCTCAACCTCACGTCTGTAACAATATGTTCTATATATAAAAAAATAAAAACACATAAAATATATATAATATAATAAAAGTAGTTGAATCGGCAGAAATATGAATGTGATAACACGTTCAACTGTCTGCTTCATCCATCCTACTTATAAATTAATAAAAATTAGTATTGTTGTTACTGATATTTTATATTTATTGATGATTGAACTATAGTTCAAGTAATTGTTGGTATGGAAATCATTTTTGAACACATCCACGTATAGTTTATTAGACCACAAGTTAAATGATATTAAATACCAACAATGGGATGAAGGATATTGCAGTGTTTGTATATATCATAAATTAAATAATGGACTTGTGATGAATGACGAATTTAGACATTTTTTGAACGAGTGCTGATCTAGTCATGAATTTAATATGAAACATGCACTAAACCGTCACCCATCCAACAAAATAGTCAGAAATTTATGAAGAAGTAACGTTATTTGGTTTATTGCAGATGTGCCGATCGTTCTACAAACATAAAATTTATAAAATACCGATTTGGGTATTGTGGTACGCCATTCCTGTTGATGAGTATTTCTCTAGTCATGAAAATTATCGACATACCGACATGAACTCGAGCCATACTCATCGACAGTTGCCTGGCTGATCAATGACAATTTCTAAGTCTAATTTTAAACTTTTCGGACTCTTAAATGTTTCGTTCATTTTTGACATTACCTATATGTTCAAAAAAATGCGGATGACGAATGAGTGTCGCGATCACGAAGCATGTAGATTAAAAAATTTTTACTCACCTATGTAATCAGCGACATCCTGCAATTCAGTTAAACCTTTCATCAAAATTTTTGCAAAAGACTTCGGCAGCTGCTTTTTTAAGACATTTGTTATCTCTCTCAGTCGTTTCAGTCAGTCGATGAATAATTAATTATTACTATCAGAATCAAACAGACAACATACAGTCCAGTTAAACAACTACGAACAAACACATGTGTGTCGAGTCTAGTTTAAAAATGTAACTGCAAACATCCGAATGAGCACAGTCATTTATAGTATCAATCAACAACAACACACGACAACAACAAAAGCAACAACACGACAACAACAAAAGCAACAACACAACAAACACAAAAGCAATCGTAAAGCCATTAACGAAGCGATTCTTACATATTCCACATACTGAACCACGTATATAACACGTCCATACAGAACTATCAGTATGTATAACACTTCTTTTGTAGCAAGCTTTATACATTCAGGTTAGCGGGTAGTGTATAAGAAAACACATATTAAAGATTAGTTTACTTTATAGATCACATCGTATGAGTGTATGGCAAAGTTTATACACACATGTGTTAATACAAACTTAAATTTATTCAAGACATTGTGTACGTGTTGATGTGTGTTTGTATGTGTGTTTGTGTGTGTATTTGTATACGTACGTGTGTGTACATCGACTTATATGTGTACTGTGTAGTTACGAGTGTCTGTGTGTGTGTATACGTTTGTGTGTGTGTATGTGTGTGTGTTAGACCCTTATCCTATTGTGATAAAATAATTTATTTGACAATGGCAAAACATTCAAAGCTAAGCCTTTATTACTGATTTCAATATGCTTGTATATAAGTATATATATATAATATACAAAATATACATACAATTGTATATATATAACAGGCATGGCTTTTATGAAGTTTGATTAATGTTTTAATAGTGCTCTAAGGTATTTAGATGGTATTTTGTGCTCGTGTATACGTACGTGTGTGCGTGCGTTTGTGTGGATTTGTTTGTGTATGAAATCTTGTGTATGTATATGTGCGTGTGTGCGCGTGTGTGTGTGTATACGTGTTTCAATAAACTGGCTAAACGTCTAACCTGCCGTTGTCCCCTATTATTGTTATTATTACTACTGCTACTGCTATTTATTGCATATTGTATAAATTGTATATTTGTTTTAAGTGTGTTACACACACACACATACACACACATACATACATAACTAAAAACATACATCTATAAATACATACATACATACATACATACATACATACATACATACATACATAGAATCATATTTTTGTATACATAAATACATACATACTATTTTATTTTTGTACTGGTATATATATTGGTATTGTATGTAGAAGGGGTACTTCAACAAGTATAATAGTTTGTATAACGGTGCAACACTGTATACATATGTTTATTTTGTATGCGTGTTTGTTTACCTTATGATATTTATCGTTTATGTATGTTTGTTTGTATGTTTGTTTGTTTGTATGTTTGTTTGTCTGTCTGTTATTTGTTTGTTTGATGTGTGGCGTCAATTTTACCTGTTCCATTTTATTTAAAAGAGCATTCTTCATTTTTAATTAATTTGATCTCTGCTCTTGTTGTTGTTTTTGATGTTGTTGTTGTGGTATTGGTGTTGTATTGTATTTCTGTTTCGGTATTGTTGTGGTAATTGTTGTTTAGGTTGACGAGGCTATTAATGTTGTTGTATGCGTTGTTGTTGTTGTTGTTGCTGTTGTTGTTGTATGCGTTGTTGCTGTTGTTGAATTTTTTTACATGTGTTGTGGATTCTGCCATATTAAATTGAACCAATGCTAAGAATGTTGTTATTCATGCTGCTGATGTTTCAAACCGTTATTATCATTATTATTATTATTGTTGTTGTTGTTGATGATCATGATAGTAGTGTTGTGGTTGTCATTAATGCTGATTTATACACACGAATTTATATACGTGTGTCCTCTGCTCACAAGCGTTCAATGCAAATGAAAATCTTTGTCTCTATATATGTGCGTATTTGTTTGTTTGTTTGTTTGTTTGTGTGTGTGTGTGTGTGTGTGTGTTTCTCTCTGTCTGCCTGTACGTGTGGGTACAGTGTGGATGTACGTGTGCATTGTGTTTATGTGCATGTATTTCATATATGTGTGTGTGTGTGCGTATTCATGTGTGTGCGTGTTTGTATGTATCTATAGTTTGATTAAATATATTCAAGTATAATTAAATTAAAAAAGACTTAAGCTTTATAATGCATGCTGGCGTTTGCCTATGTGTTAATGTTTTTGTATGCACACACATGTATGCATGTGTGTATATGTGTGACTGTATGCGTGTGTGTGGTGTGTGTATTTGTGGTGTGTGTGGTGCATGCAAGCGTTTAAATGATATGAAATATTGGAATTCATGTGTCCATAGCTGTGTGGTGTAGGTTGACATGATAAATGTACGCAGGCATTAATCATTAATCTCACAGTCGTCATCATCATTATCCTTATCATTCCTCTCTTCGTCATCATCATCGTCAGCGCTTCGTTGAACTTTATTTATATCATCTACTTTGTTATCATCCTCCTCATCGTCACCATCGTTTCAGTAACCATCAAGACTGCGTTTCTACATTTAGTATTAGTATATCATGATAATATTTATATGTCGTGCTCTATATTGAATCATATTTGAATGTGTATGTCTGGACAAACGCGTGTGTGTGTGTGTGTGAGTATGTGTGTGTTTGTAATTTTGTGTGCTTATGCAAGTGTGTACGTGTGTGTATATGTATGTGTAAGTGCATGTGTGAATGTATTCGTGTGTGTGTATTTGTGTAACCCATAGCTACAAGAGGAGTCAGCATAGTGCTGTATAGTTTTTTTACAGATAAATTTTATAAAAATTAATAAATAAATAAAATGGAAAACTTCTTAATTGCCTTCCTTGATGAGAGGTCACGATCATTTATAACAATACAAATTGCTGTTAATTTAGTCATTTGTATATAACATACTCAAAGTCAAATTACGCCAAAAATATACATCGAAAAACTACGTATACAACATAACGATACCAATCAAATTAGTGCGAACTTGGTAAGATACACAACATACAAAACAATGATACACGTTATACAAAACATTGATGCCCAGTGAAAAAAATATTGATACCAACTCTTAAAAATACGTCTGGAAAATATTCGCCAAAACATACCACTGCTATACATTGAAATAAAAGAAGACTTAAATATGGAAGACAGTAAATATACAATACACATACATGTACTATAAAAAATTACTTCAGACAAAAAATGTCATATAAACACACACACTCAAACAAACAAACAAACACATACACACATATATACTATTTGTACGATTCAAACAAAAAGTGTAGAATACAAAACACAACATACACACATCCTGATATCCGTGGAAGAACCTCGAGTCTTTGGTGTACAAAAAAATATCGACCGTCTTCGTGGCAGCTTTCGGCACTCTACAAGGTACATTGTACAACTACGTACACACACACATGCACACACACACACATGCACACACACACACACACATACACGCACACACAAGTTTGTACACGCAACGGTGCGTAATATACTTGCGTGATACAACACAATACACGCACATATGTGTATTGTATACATTATTTGCAGTAATGTATGTGTGTTTGGTTGCAGTATATTGACTACTGCACTGTATATATACATAGCACACGCAACATTTGACCGCACATGATCGTTTAGCACAAAAAACACATGAAGCTCTAAATTAAAAATGTTTATTTTGCAAAAATTGAAACAGATTTAGTGGAAAGTTGAGCGAAAGCAAAGATGAGATAGATAAAAGAATAAAAAATTAAAATCGAATGTTTCTTGAGTAAGAAGAAAGCAGGGATATAAGGAAAAGAGAGAAAGAAAAGAATGGACAGAAAAGAGAGAGAGAATGAGAAAGGGAGAGAGAGAGATAAACATGAGTGAGAATTTAAAAAAAACAATAAAAGAAAAATAGAGAGAAAGTAGGCGTACCAAGCCAGACCTTCCCAGGCCCAGCAGCTATCAACAAAACGTCATTTTTGAAACAAAGAAAGAAATCTATTTCATTCAAGAGCGCTATACACAGCATCGTCGTCATCAACCTTTCAATAATCGTTTAAATTCAATTTAAAATATTTATAAATTTTATCTCAAGAAATTAATTTCTTTTAAACGGCATTCTCGTATTGTTTCGACTTTCATTGCTTAAAAAAGTATCTGCTATCGTCAAACATTTCAGCATTTAAATTAGCGAATTAAAACGAAAAAACAACGAGACAAACAAACGAACAGATAAACAAACAAAAGAATAACAAATAAATGAAAATTGAAAAAAAAATGCATCATGCATATATACTTCTCGTTATATACTTCATGGGACGCCCGTCTAACCATATTATCCGAACGGTTCATCAAACTAACTGCATATTATTCTTTTATTATTATTATTATTATTATTACTATCATCATCATCTTCTTCTTCTTCAATATTACCAAAAATTAAATTATTATTTAAAAACATCCAGTATCATCATCATCACCATCATCATCATCCTCATCATTGTTATCATCATCATAATCTTTTTCAACATCGTCATCATTGTAACCTTCATAGTCGTCACAAGCTTTTTTGCATAAGCAGGTATAAATACACATACAAACATAACATAAACATATTATATATATAACATACATACACATACATACAATATGCCCATATGTATTCATATGTAAATGTATACAAACACATTTACCAATGCATTATTATATAACAAATGCCTATTTGCTGTCTATAATATATGCAACAAAATACAATATGTTTCTAGGAAGAGTATGCAGACATATGCATGTTCTATATGTATTTGTATATACGTATATGTATGTATACATGTGTATATTTGTGTATATGTATGTATTATGAAGGTATATGCATGTATTATGAATGTTTTTGTATGTTTTATATGTGCATATATGCAATGCCAGGATCATCGTCGTCGTCGTCGTTATCACTCCTTGAAGCTGACAATGTAGGGAAGCTTGCCTGTTTGCTTGTTTGTTTGCAGTTGCGGTTTCAAGAAGTGAATAAAGTCGTCGTCTATATCGTCGTCTAGAAAGTTTTTTTGTCGCTGTAACTGTCGTTATTGTTGGTTGCTATATTTCGATTCCTGTGGTTGCTTGCCGTCGTGTTATTTTCGTTGGAGTTTTTGTAAGTTGAGGTTAGATTTCGCGACTGCTATTGTTTATGTTTGGTGGTGCTGTTGTTGTTGTTGTTGTTGTGGTGATCTTTGTTGTTGGTTACGTTAATGCGTTTTTGATAGATTTGTTGGTGTTGTTTGTTGTGGACGCTTTTGTTGTTCGTTGATGTTTGTTGTAGCTTATAAAAATTTTTAAATTTTCGAACTTTTTAAATGTTATTTCTAATTGTTATAACAAGAATAAACAATAATATAGAATTAATATTGCAACTTAACCGCTGTAATGCTATTCCTCATACCAACATAAAATTTTAAATTTGTTACGAATATTATTACAACCGTCATTTTAACTTGATTCTAATTTAATTGAAATAAAAATATTTATAAACGCTGACTAAATGCGTGCAAATACTTTTATATTAGTGTTTCAGTTAAATATTTTTATAAAATCAAATTTATTAAACAGCTTGCAAATTTTCTAAATTTTCTGTCAGCATGAATAAAATAAAATATTGACTTTGTTACATGTTTACTTACTCTTACTTAACCTTCCACAGAACAGTTGTTTATTCCATCTTTTCCAGCTAGTTCAAGCCAAACGGTTGAAAATTTGGCTTCATTTTCGAAAAAAACGAAAGCACCTGTAAAAAAATTTCAAATTATTCCCTCTTTCTGGAGAGATTATTTTCTATCAAATTTAAAATTTTCCACCAATACTTTCGAATTGATTCAAATTGATAAGAGGAAGAAATAAAAACGAAAATTTGTAAAAATGTGTCAGGGAAATCCAATACTACGCATATTAGGTTTCACTTTCCTCTTGATTGCCATCCTGGCATCTGGCATCGGTCTGTTTGCCCCCTTCTGGATTCGAAACAAAAAAGCTGATCCTTTCGGGTCGTTCAAAACAGCTGTTGGGAAGGCTGCCGACGACACATTAGATAGTTTGAAAGAGGCATTTACAGGCAAAGATAAAGAGAAACACAGTGATGGTGCTCTCCCGTCAACCACCACAATTCACACTCCGATGAAAAACCAAAAATTAACTACTACAACCGTCTGGGAGATGGAAGTTGACAATGACAATCTTGACAATTTTAATATTAAGAAGAAAAAGCGACAAACTGGTAGGGAATCAACCCTGGCAAATATAGGAGGGGTCATCATACCCACCCCAATCAATCCTCTCGCTGATTTGCAGTCCACCTCTGCCACCAAGTACGACGACAAGTGGTTCTGGGAAGGTCTCTGGGTCAAGTGCACGTCTAATTTGACCTGCGTTTGCTTTGCGCAGGACGACTTTGCTCTTGAAAAAGAATTTCCAGGTTAGCGCTGGTTGGTTGGTTGGTTGGTTGGTTGGCTGGTTGATCTGTTGGCTGGTTTGATCACATGGTTGGTTGGCTGGCTGGCTGATGTTCTGGTTGAATGGTTGCAATTGTTTAATTGGTTTGACGAGAAAATTAGTTTAATAAAATTTTCTGTGGAGTTGTACCGTTAGCTGACTTATTTATTTATTAATTTAAATTGTACTCACTGCTGATCTTTCGCATGCCATTCCCCAGCATGGCTGGATTTAAATACTAACGAAACATCCTTCTCAACAGCGGTTTTAAAACAAAATCGCCGGCAATAAAAATATTTTTAACGCAAACAAACACGAATTAACAACATCATTACAAAAAATTTTCAATTTTGACCTAGACACCAACATGATCCTTTGGCGCTTTAGCTTAGACGGCAAGTGACTTCACTCGTGGAGATATTATTGCGCGATGACCTGGTTTAAATACTATCTGTCCGAAATTCAAACACCACCATATGCCTTATGCGTGCAGTGTGACTTGCATACAAAACAAGCGTGTACACCGTGGAGTGTGTATGTGTTTACTGTACATGTACCTGCACGTGATGTATAATAATGAAGAAAAAAAATAAAATGCAATGAAGACATTTATGTCAGAAGCAATAATCACAACAAAAACAACAACATCACATGAATTACAGCCACATCATCAACAACAACAACAGGGTCAAACAAACACAAAGCAATGATTGCTCCCTGGAACAA